TTTGTTTTAAGAAATTTTCTAAAGAAAATTAATATGTCAAGATATTTTATACTTTTATAAGATTTAAGAATTTGAATTTGGTAATTATTGAATTTGATTGTTTCTTGAATATTACATTTTATTTTGATATTGTTAATGATTTTGATTTTGTTTTTGTTACATGTAATATTATTAATTGCAAAAAACTGATTGGCTGTTATCAAAAGATCTTCTATTCTTTGCTTGAATTTAGTGATAAGTTCCAAGTTATCTATATAGGTTAAAATATGTATTTGTTATATTTATACTTATTTTAGAAATAAGATATTATTATTAAATATGTGTAATATTTATTTTATTAATATTAATATTTTATTTTATATTTATAGTATATAAGATTTTTTGAAAAAACTAATAAGGACTTATATATTTATAATATGTATTTCTTTTTTTTTTTAAAGTAAAATGTATATAAAGCATGTGATCTTTATTGATATATTTATATATTTTTGACAGATATCAAGTGTTTCTACAAATTAATTAGAAATTGGTTGATACAATAGATACTTATTATATTTCTATAACTAATTTGTAGATTAATACTGCCTAGTATTTATATTGCTATAAGACTAGCTATGCCAACTATTTATAACCCAATTATGTGTTTATTTAAATATTTAAAAATGTATTCACATATCAAGTAAAACTTTTTATAGAAAGAAAATTCTACTATTAATTTAAAATTTATTTAATTTATCAAGTCCATATTGCAGAGAACAGTGTAGTATATAATATTATTATAAAAATTAATCTTAGTTATTTCAATTACTTGTTATTACTGATTCTTGAAGTATGTTACTAGTATAATACAGCACTACTATTTTTTATTATTTGTAAAATAGACATTTTTGTATGGATTTCAATTGAATTTGATGATTTTTACCAGATGTACTTGATCTTAATGATTTTTATCTAGATTGTTATCTCTTATGGCTAATAATCTTTTGCCTTTTTAGTTTATTTAAGTTCAAAAGTATATCACTCATGGAATAGATTTTCAAGTTTTAGATTGGAATAAATTAATTTAGAATTAAGTTTTTTGAATTGTGTAATGGAGTCTGTTGTTATCAAATTGGATTAAGTTTTTATAAGCTTTTACTAAAGTTAAACCAGAAGTTTTTTTTTATACAATCTTTTGTGTTTTAATCTATTTTTAATCTGCAATTGTTAGGAAGACTAGAGGTTTCTTATTTATGTAACCTAATTGAATTTGAATATGATTAAGAATTATTGGATATGATATATGCAAGATATTCAGTAAACCTATATATAAAAGTGTCCTTTATGAGTATTGAACTAGAAACATATGTTTGATGACTTGGAAACATTATCTATTGTGTTATTATTAATTCATAGATCTCTATAATATGTATTTCTATTTATATATATTTATAAATTATTTATATAATAAAGAATAATTATTTAAAGAATTTAAAGGTAATCTTTTTACTTTTTTAATAATATAAATTATATATTTTTTTTTGATTTAATAAAATAATAATTTTTTTTAAACTTGTATCTTTTTATAGTTTCTTTTTTTAACTAGATACAACTTATTATTTAAACTGTTATAATATGTTTAAATTTTTACAAAAAAATTTGAAACTTAATTTTTTTCATTAAAGAAACTATATATTATCTTTATAAATTATATTTAGAGATTTTGTTATTAACAGGTGAACTGAATTAAGAAGATTTATATTTTGTATATATTCTTATACTTGTAATAATTCTTTATAAATTTTAATAAATAAATAAATAAACAATTCTAGTTTGATTGGAAATTTAAAAAAATAAGTAAATAAATAAACAATAAAATAACTGAATAATAAAAAAAATAATTAAATTTAATTTTATTATAATGATAGATTTATATTTGATTTTTCGTAAAAAAGAAATATTTATCATGCTAAGAACATAAAGTATATTAATCTGAAAATATAATTAAAATAAAATGTTTAATTAATATGTTTTTACTTTGAAAATAAATAAATAAATAAATAAATAAAATTTATTAAAATTATTATTCTATTGTTAAATTTTTATTTTTGAAAAAACGATTATTTGGTTTTACAGTATTAATAAAATTAAAAGGCTATCTGAATAAACCATTAGATGCTTGTTTGCTTTAAAAACCATTAAATTACTATTAAATTGAAAAAAATTTAACATTAATATAATTCTTAATATACTGTATAAATTATCATATTTAAAGCTTTAAATCTCAATAAGTTATTTATAGGAAGATTTTTTTTGGAAAAGCGACTTTTTCGAAAATAGAACCGGTGCTAGTGAAACAAATTACCTAATTATAAAACTTTAATTGCTTGTCATATTTGGCATTCACATTTTAAGAAGTGTGTTTTGCAATAATTTATTTACATGATCTTCGGTGTCACTTTCACATACTGTACGTATCTAAAGTTTCCAGTATATGATTTTGATTAAATCAGGAATTGCAACATATGCAAGCGTTCATAAACTTTTTAGGAGTCTATCTGCATCTATTAAATTTTATTACAATGATATTTGTAGAATAATTTATGCGTATAATCTAATTGACGTTAGTGAGTTTATAGGTTTATATTTGTAGAATAATCTATGTGTATAATCTATTGACATAAGTGTGTTCGTAGGTTTCCTGGAATATACTGTACATTAGAAATAAGAAAATTTTTATCTAAAGAAAATATTGCCTTGGTCAACCCAAATACCGAAGGGTGATCAATCAAACAAGATTTCCTCTTGACATTCCATTTCATGACACCACTACATACTCATTATACAAATTCCTTCGTAATCCCATTAAAAATTCATCATAGGCCGTCTGTAAGACACCAGCCCACGAATTGGGATGAATCGGGACGTTCCAATTATTATGCCAGTGGTAAGCAAATGCCCCCGGGAAAAAACCTTCCACCTTCCTCACATCCAATGGGGATTCAGTATAATTATTTGACTTCAGTTCACCAAGCACAAACTTCGGGTTGAAAAAATCATGTATTTGAGTTAAATTTGGTATCAGCGCATGTCCAATTTGTTTTCCATCATTTTTCAGCCACAACGGATCAAATAATCCCACAGGCAACATGTACAATTGTTTGTTAATTTCCTTCGTTTTGTAATTCTTATTTGTCTTCAAATACTTCCTTATACGTAGTGGATGAAAATTCATTTTGTTTCTCGTTGCTTGACTGATTATCCTTTTGGAAGTTGGACTATGTCTTCGAAGTCTCAACACAGCGGTATTGTATTGACTCGTGAAACTCCAACGATATGAAAATTCGAAATTCGCGTAATATAGAGGACGCATATCCCTTAATAACAATACATCGGCGTCAATGTATATGCCACCATATTTATAAAGTACCACGAATCGTACCATGTCACTAAATGACACTGGAGCACGGCGATGGTAAATATTCTTCCAATCAGCAAATAATTTAATGGAAGAAAGCTGTTCTCTGGTATTCCAAAATTTGAATTTTATATGAATGGGGATAAATCTTTGAAGTAAACGTAAGTGAGAACTTTTTCTAGGGTCTGTATAATTATTGGAGTCTAACCACACGTAAAGAGTGGAACATTCGAGAGGCTGGCTGAAAAGAAAAGATTTCATCATCAATGCCAATTTATCACTTATTGGACCCCTCCAGAATACATGGAATAACATTGGAGGATAATCTCGACTACAGATCGGCGGCCGCGAGGATGCGTGAATGGAGTAGTAGGGTAGGATGTAATCCGTTTCATTTTCCTGAAGATACCGAAGACATTGAATAATTGGGGCGGTTTTTCTACCGCCACAATATTTTTCTATACGGTTAACACTAACCAAATGGTCTTGGGCAGGACGTTGACGAGCGTTGGGTATGGGAGGTGGGATAATAGTTGATGTAGAGTCGGTTGAGGAGGTAAACAATGGATCGTTGAACTTTTCTATGATGTATAGGAAATTTGCAACTACCATGAAAACGATGATTATGTAAAAAAGTTTATTCTTGAGTATTTGAATACGCATTGCCAATTTCTCTTCTACATTCTTAAAAAGATGAAAGAGAAGCCTTTTATATAATATATAATACATAAAGTCCTGTGTCAAATTAGTCTGTAGTACTAGAAAAATAATTTAATTGGTTAATCGGCGGTTTCTACTCGTTATATACTGCCGAATCGAACAAATTTTTTTTCCTGTCCTAAAAGACTGCTCCCGAGAAATCCTATCCTCTTTCCGACAACAATTCTTACATAACCAATTAGATTTAATAATACGCTGTCACACAACCTTACGTCAATGAATGCCAAGCAATGAAAGGCATATGTATCACAAATAAAGATGTTAATCGGTTCCATAAACAGTTAGTGTATTTGGAATTGAAAATTAATTTTTGAGCAGGGCTTTAATTAAAAATTTCCTTGAGAACTAGAACGTCAGGTATATCACAATATGTCGTGTAACAATCGAAAGAGGTGACATTACTCGGTTGGGTAAGTATATTACAGACAACGCGAAAACAATTAAATTTTCCAAGCCGCGATCACATTTTCCTAACCGATCCATTCACACATAATACAAAAAATTTTTTTCTTATAAAACCCTATTGGCTTAAGGGTAGTCAAAATTTTTTTGATCTTTGGAGTGACCGATTAATACCTAAATTGTTTTATTTAATCATCAAAAAATGTTTCAATCTATTTCCTTATACAGTATTTGTTGATGTTTCATATGCTTTTGACAAAATTCAAATTGAAAACTGTAGAATAATTAATAATATTTTCTTTATAAATTTTTATAACACAATGTTTGTATTGTTGTTAACACTAGGTTAATGATTTTTATTGAAGTAAAATTGATTGCTACATCCCATTGACCAAAGAAATTGTTTCATACGTATTTCAAACACATGCAGTATAATAAAATACAGTAGTAGTAGTCGTAGTATAAATTTTAAATTTTATTAAAATAATATTATTAAACTGTTTAACAGGCAATTTATAAATAAAAAATTGTAAAACCTTAGAATTTCGGATAAAACAATACATGTAAAACTCGTTATAGTGAAAATAAATATGGGTTGGTACACAGCAAAACCATGCTCTGAGACAAAATCCTTGTTTGGAGATATCGACGATTATCAATTTAAATTTATATACCGAGTCATATAAAATTAAAAAACTGCTCGCGAGATTGTACCAAATTATAATAGATTAATATATATCCAAACCTTTATCACAAATAAAGGACGTATAATCCACTAAAAATTTCAATTTTTGTTAAAACCTTTCAAAGCATGGTTTTGCTGTGTACCAACCCATATAATGAAATAAGGTTTAAGACAAGCATAGTAAATTATGTGTGGTTATAATAAATTTTACAATAACTCTTGTTATAACGAAATCTTTAAACTATTTTTGCTGATTACTTTATATCAATTTTTATTGCACAATATAATAGATCTTTTAAAAATAATATATAGTGTAATTAAAATTATATTACGTATTATCTAAAAAAAAAAGATTTTATTAATTGCCAATTAATAAAATTATTTAAAAATAACAATTGACCTAATTATTTTTTATTATATATAATATATCAAAAATTCTTTTTAAATGTACTATAATTATTCTCTCTAAATGCATGGTCAAGCTTGGTTCCAAGTACGTATTTAAACCTTTTAATAAATGTTTATTTTTAAAAAATTTTTTTATGATTTCAAATAAAGTACATTTAGAAAAGATTCACTGCATATATTTATATTTAATTATAAATCAAAATATTAAATAGAAAAATTTATTTAAACAAAATTTTAATGCATCAAATTAATAATCATCATATAAAATTATTTATTAACTAATATCAAGTAGATAAAGCCTTGTTAATAATAATGATAGCTTTTGATTTTTTTTATTTATTGGATATTGAATATTTTGTTTTTACATTTTGTATTTTTAAAGGAATACTTAGATAAGTAGAATTAATAATTTTGATTTGAACTTGATTTAAATTGTTTGAAATTGTTAACTTTTGAAATTTTTGGATCTTATCTGTTCTACCTTACATTTTGTCTCAGTATAATATAAAATAATTTATAATTATAAAAATAGTTTTAAATTATTAAATTAATTGTTATAATTTCATTTATTAATTTTTTTAAATCAAGAAATACAATATTTTTAAAATTTTTGTTAACAGAGTAATATAGTAAAATAATAAAAAAACTATTATATAAAATGTAAATTATAAATAATTGTAATTTTTTCTATTATCAGTTTTGATTTATACTGTATATATTATTTGTTTAATGGTATCGTTGAAAAATAGATTTAAATTATAACAGAATTTATTAAATTTCACATTGCATCAAATCAAATCAGGACGTATACACGTAAATGTGTGTATCTGAACTTTACAAATTCGATTAAGTTATTTATTCAATTTAACGTTTATTGAGTGTAACTTGCTTTTAGGACTATATAGTTTCAAGCTTTAAGATCGTTCAAAAAAATTTTGCCTTTGCGGTTTTAGTGTTGGGTGGTGACGCCTTTGAGGAGACCCAATTTTTATAAGTTAATTCTGTTCGCAAATGTTGAGTTTTTTGTTGTCCTTTAATTTCTTCCTTCGATTTCTTTTTCTTCAACGATTCATCATTTTGTTCGCGTGCTTTACGTAATTGAATGCGCGAATCTGTTTGGAAAATGAAGCTAATAGGTTCTGTGAGTGGTTTTTCGGATTTCTTGGTTGCCGCCTTCGCATGAAGCTTGACATTTTCCTTCTCATGCTTCTCTTTCTTGATAAATTTCTGGTGCGTATCTTGTTGGTATTTCTCTTTGTAAAAATCAGGTTTAAGTTAAAAAAGACTCAGTATCAGTCGCAGTCATTGAGAATCTATAGAGATAACAAACCGTTTGGTTGTGTTTTAGCTTTACAGACTCTCCCTCGTTCTTGTGAATGTTGTCTTATGTTTGTCCCATTCTCCTTAGTTTCTCCAGAGGAACCAACCAATTTATGTGACTCTTTGGAATGAGGAACGGGATGTAATTTAACTTTATGAGGGGAAAACTGATGATGTTGAGATTTAGTTGTGGGAGGAGATCGAGACATCATGATGTTGGCCTTTCTTGCAGTTGGACCAACGCGTTTTCCGTTGTGACCGTGATTATTCAGCATGGTTCGAGGGTTCTTATCTGATTCTTGTCCTTCCGCATTTATGGCCCTGCATGCATTTGCCCGTTGTTTTGTTCGTAGGTAAGGAGACTTTGGTACTGTAAGTAGGCGTGTATGCGTGTTGGATGTCGGTTTAAAAGACACAAGTTTTGTCCTGAACCTTTCTGGTGTGTCCTCCAAGAAGTGTTTAACTCTTTCGGCCAGGGGAATGAACGGTGACCTCGTCGGACGTCTCTCGTTCATGTGCACGTGCGATATGGTGCGAAATGTGAAGGGCTTTGGCACAGTTAATTCTGCACGGAATTTTTTAGTAGGTTGTCGTTTCTTTATTCCTGGCGATCTGCTTTTCGGATAATTCTTGTTTCGTTTTGGTGGATCAAGTCGATTGGATAAGTCTAATTCTTTGGAAACAATGACGTGCCTTACGAGAGGACTCATCCCGAGTTTTGAAGTAACACCGATAACGGGATCTTTAGCAGTTCGATTTACTTCAGTGCCTCGGATCATCTGTGTCCTATCAATAATCTTTTTTGAAGCGGTGACACTGGCAACGGGGGCCTTAGAAACCAGATTCCCTGTAGTATCCGTATTTTTCTCAAGATTCCTCTGTGATACTACTTCTTTATTCGCTCTCGTTTGCGATTCGTCATTCATTGTTACTTTCGAAACGAGATTGGACACGGAAAGTTCCTTGAGAATTGGATTTTTTTTGATTCCCGAGTTCTTCCCCGCAACCCTCTGTGATTTTGTATCTGATTTGGCCACATGACTTTCTTTTCCCTTTACCAGATCATCACTTTTGTCGACCTTAATTCTAATGGCCTTGGGTTTTGAGATATCACCGGTTTTCTTTAAATCGTCGCACTTATTTTGCAAAACTGTGCGACAAAAACCGAGGTTATTCGGTAATGGTGAACACTCGACAGTTTCCGTGGACCTCATTTCCGTCGTTTTTTTTTCATCAAAGTCTAGAATGGAAACTTCGGTCGGGGTCGGCGAAAGCTCGATCGCGTTGTTTTCGTCATCTTTCATAAATAAAACATAAAACTACATGAATCTTATAAGCACATGTTTGCATTGGGGGACGGCATAACTTACCGAACCACGAGTCACCTTCCCCCAAAGTCATGTCATTCAGAAAATCCCGAAATCTCGGGGCATTGATATTCTCGTAGGTAAAATCGCAGAAACTGGTTGGAGTGCCGCTTTCCAAAATTATTTCTTCGTAGTCATCGTTGAATTCGTCGTGTTTTGTCGATCTCAGGATGCTTTCGAAAGTACTCTTTGGTTTCATTTTTTCATACAAAACGAGCACATGTGCTACGCTCGTCTTGTTTTACAAGAATTCACGAGTAAATGAACGATAAAAAATTCACTACAGCAATCTAACAATCTAGCGAGGTACAATCTGTAGCGTAAAGCGCGTCTCTGAGGCATCATGATCGACAAATGTTTATCACGCGAAATACTAACACGTGATTTATCATAACACGTGATTTGATCATTGAATCAAAAAAATATATATATATATAGATACTTCGTTTAAATGACATAACGCACATAACACACAATTGAAATTAATGTCAATTGATACTATTTGATATTACATAATAATCACCTGATAAAGAAGGAAAAATCTATTATAACACAAATGGTAGCACGAACCACAAATTAAGGAATCATTTGAAAGGATGTGGGGGGAAAACTTTAAATGAACATTTTCAATCTGGATCCTCCTGTTAATCTAATGAATTGAGCCATTCTTGAAGGGCGCATCGTTTATCGACCGTACTCTCACTTTTTTTTTAAAAAAAAAATTGCAAAGCATTTCATCTAAAATTCAATTCAGATATGTCATCAAATTCAAATTCCGAAAGTTCGCCTTTGCTTGGCCTTCGTGACGACAATGCAGCCGGTACGACTGGTTTGAACGGCTGCCATCAAGTTTTTCTGGTTTTAAATCTATATAAGTTCATCAGGTCGTGGTTTAAACATGGTTTTTTTTTTCTGCTTTCCTGTTTGCATCAAAAAAAGAATCGCAACAACCGGTTCCTTCGAGCAAGAAAATTTCCATTCCATATGGACTTGTCGCATTGACCATACTACTCACCTCCATCACCCTATTCATAATCTTCATGCCTCGCGCCGTTCGTACGTGAACAATGCAATTTGATTAATCTTGAAATAAACTTTCTTTATTTCTTTGATCATTGATTCTAGCTAAATTTTTCCGTCAAAAAATTGATTAATTCCTGAAAAGACGACGCACCCGAAGAGATCACATTGCCACACGACCTCACCGATAATATTTTTGCACATCTAAAAGCCTTGAATGATATCGCCTATCGATCGACCAGAAATTCACGTTCAGTCACTGATGGTTTTAATGCGTCGGCCGAGTACGTGATCAGTCAATTGAACAAGACAGGGTGTGAAGTAAAATTACAATATTTCAAGGTTCCCATCTGGGAAAAGGAGAAGGAAGCGGAATTGAATGTCACCTTTGATAACGGAGTGACCGTGGCCTATCAAGGCGGTATTGATTTTTGGAGTAAGCGCTATTCTTGATCTTTTCATGTCTTTTGTACCACCATTCCGAGAATGTGATTTAAGACTATCAACTTTCACAGGTATGCGATATGGGGGACAAGCAACCAACCTTATATTTCAAGGTGTGACGGAAGTGAAAAAACCTTGCGATGAAGGTGAAGAATGGGACGTCGAAGGGAAGGTTGCATTGATACGGTTGAGAGAAAAATGTGATCTCTGGGAAATCGCCCTTAAAGCCGAGAAGGTACGCGAGTCCTGGTAAACTTTAACTATTCACATCTTATTAAATAAATAATCCCACCATTCGCAAACCTTTAGTCGGGCGCATCCGCGGTCATTTTCTACAACACGCCAGAGCAAAAAAAGCTTTCGTATTCTCGCGTAAGGATTGTAGATTGGAAAGAAGGAGGTTTTAAAGATCGATCCTTAATTAATTATATGCATCCTGTTGAATGCACGTTTACCGGTGTCTTTATTTCATTCTTAGATCCCCTCATAGCAATTCCGGTTCTCGCCGCTTCGAATTCAATGGGTCAATTACTATCAAATTCACAGCACATAAACATCACCACTTACACGAAATTGTTTGTTGTCGAAACATTCAACGTTTTATGCTATTTAAATGATCACGGAGACAAACAGAGCACCATCGTGGTTGGCTCGCATCTAGACTCGGTGCCTGCAGGTCCAGGTCTCGTGGACAACGCCTCTGGATCCTCGACGATACTCGAGATTCTTTTGTATCTGGAGAAGAAACAGTTCAAATCACGGAATAGGTTGATTTTTGCATGGTGGGGCGCTGAAGAGCTTGGATTGTTGGGTTCAAGGCATTTCGTAAGGCAATTGATGAATAGCGGTGAGAACGTTGACGTGGCGATGAATTTGAATTTTGACATGCTGGGTAGTCCCAATTACATTCCCTTCGTAAGTATTCACGATAGATTCGACGCAAGCAGCTTATCGACTGATTTTCCGAGTCTTGCAATAGGTCCTCCGAGGATCCGATGCTCCATCCGATGCTCGGAATGGTTCGATTAGAATTCAACGCGTGCTCGAACTCGGTTTCGACGAAATCAAAAAGAATTATAATGTTTCTGATATGTTGGGAGGTAGCGATTTCCTACCTTTCGTCCAGAACGGTATTCCGTCAGGTGTGTTTCGTCGTAGCTTGAAGAATAGAAAATGATTGTTTGTATTTGATACACACAGTATCATAATGCATCACTTTTGAATTAATGCAGGGGGACTTTATACCGGCTCAAGCGAGATCAAAAGTAGAAGATCCCAGCGGGAATTTGGTGGCATTGCAAATGCACCTTTGGATCCTTGTTACCATAAAGAGTGTGATTCATTAGAGAATGTTAGTAAGGAGGCTATCTCCGTGGTACGTATTTTCAGCGATATTCCTATTCTGATGAGCGCAAATAATATTTTTCGATAATGAGCATCAACCAAACATCTTGTGGCAAAAAATTAGATGTCTCGAGTGATTTTCAAATCAATTTTCAAATTTGCTTCCAAGAAAAACCTGAGAAACTTTTTAAATATTTAAATGTATAATTTTTGCCTTGGGTAAGTGCGCAGCGTTTTTTTTTTATTATTTTTTTCAGATTATTCTGATTGTTGTTTGCATTTCATTCTAATAAATATTCGTAGGAAAAAGGCCATGTGTGTATACGTTGAACCGTATATATAGCACATAAGGTGCATATATATGCACGTAACGATTAGGCACTTGATAATTATCACGCATATATTATGAGCGAAATTTTGTGATTGCATGAAATCAATAAATTGAATTAAAAAAACATTGGTTCTATGAAATTTTCTATGGGTTCAAGGAATCGGCACAATCGACACTTTGCAGTTTGTCACGTGGATCATCGCCTATTTTAGGTATCAACAAATAAGCGGCAGATCGACAAACGAAAGTTGACAAGTAACAAAGGTTACAACCGTATAAAAAATCGTTTTTTTTTTAAAAAAAAAGTCTTAAATTACACGCGTGTGCGTATTACCTTTTCGCCCCTGTGCAAAATCTTGGAGGGCATTGACTCACGATGAATCAATTACAAAGAAGAAACTGTTTGTCATCCAAAACTCGGAAATTTGACAAGTCGCACATGTGGTAGTAGGGTTTGCCTCATGCCAAGCAAAAGTTATTATGAATTTGTTTGTTTACGTACCCAGAAATCGGCGAGTGGCATATTACGTATTTATCAACAGGTCGATCCTTAGGGGTGACCTGCTCCGATAACGATAAGAAGACGAAAAAACTTATTCCGGATTTGCACGTATTCTTACTCTCCGAGTAACAAAAGGTTACTATATTTATGTTGGTTGAACTAAGGTTCCTCGTGTTTCGATGACCTGAAAAATATTCAATGTGTCGGAAAAGAATCAGTCATTTAAACCTTCCAGAAAAAAAAAAGAACTGACAAACCAATAACCGTCATTATAAGTTGCTCGTGGATCTTCCTCTAGATGAATGCGAAAAAAAAATATGCTCGACACGCGAACACATTTCAGGTGTTGAACTTCCGAAAGTTCCCTTTCTTTCAATACGTAATCCGAAATCGAAGATCACGCATACCCCTGGGGAAATTGTGCAAAGAAATGTCAAAATTCTGAGATCCCCAACAAAAGCGGGAAGAAGAACGAATCTCCTTATTCATCGAATTACGATGCATCGAATATTTTGTACTCTTTTTATGGGATCGAGAAAGATGGTCCCACTTTGTATAAGAACACCAATGAATTGCAGTATTGTTTATTTATTTTTTACGTGACTTCATTATGAGTTGAATAGTCAATGCGTTAGCTACATCATAGGTTTACGCTTACGTGAACTACATTTCCATTTAGATACAAAAAATTCTTCTTTCTAATTGTTAATCTCTCCTAATAACCAGGGAGTGATTTCACATCAGATATAATTTGATTTTAAGAAGCAAAAGGAAATCCATTAGGTCACCTAACAATAAGCGGATCTTGAGACAATAAAGTTACCGATGATGACTTGTGTTGTGTGTAGCGTGATCATGTGCGCAAACGTACGGTGTATAAAAATCCAAAGTTCGCGGCCAACTTTTTTTTTTTTTTTTTAGAAAGAAAAAATCAAATTTCCTGTAAAACAAACAATTTTTGACAAAGAAGAAAATAATAATAATAATAATAATGGCTCAAGTATTATCCGAGAACCATTTCCCTCTTCACCGGGGCCTCATTTCAAAGCAAAATTCCTGCTTTAATAATTATAGCGTTCCCGACGCCATCACCCTCGAATCTATTATCTCCTCTGCGATCAGTTTTGAAGAGCGCAGACGAATCGAGTCGGCCATCTTTCTACCTCTCCATGATCTAATCATTCCCACTCACAAGCCCAATCGAAAAAAAGCTCCTCGATCGCAGAATTCGTTTGTGATTTTTCGCAAAAATTTCCAGGCGAGAATGACCTACGAAAAAGGACCCGGTTATTCTTCACAGTTGAAGACCGTATCCAAGCATGCAAAGGACATCTGGCGCATGCTAGCTAGCGAGGAAAAATCAATTTACGAAAGAATTGCAAGCATTGCCACCATGGTTCACAAAGTCATATGGCCTAACTATAGTTATCGACCCAATCGTAAAGAAACAAAGCGAAACGAGCATTCCAATCATTCCCATATATGTTCTTCCGCTTCTTTTTCACAAAACCCCTCTTCAAATAATTCATTACGCCATTGTCTAAATCACGATGACCTTGGTCCATGTGATTCATTCTCCTATAAACGTCAAAATTCGACACATCACCCATCACGTTATCAAGACTTCCCTCATTTTGAAATTGGTAGATACCCAAATTACAATAAATACAGTCCTTATTATATTCCTAGATTGGAAATTCAACCGTGTCCAATTCTCACACCCATTCAACCCATTCAACCCATTCGACAATTAGAAATGGAAACCACCCCCAGCATCACTCCTTATGATAAATCAATTCTCAACACGGTTGACAAGTATTTTAAAATTTGAGTCCGAAATGTCACATTACGTTTCGATGAGCGATTTTTTTTTTTTATACATCAACCCTTTCTTATCTTTATTTACTCATTATTTTCATTGTAAATTACCCATTCATTTTTATTTTTTTCTATTTCGATTTACATATCCCCTTCTTCACCCTGAATGATTGACGCGATCTGCACCTATCTTCCAGGGTTCATTTAAAAAAATAATAATATAAAACTTTAAATATTCCTTCATCTTCTGGAACATGAAACAGAATTATTCTAAGAAATCTTAATTCACCTTTCCATCTATGTGTTAATCTAACTCTAAGATATTATATACGCGTCTCCCATAATTATTAATTTAATAACCAATCCACTAAGTAGTAATTTTTACGTAATTCTCTTGTACATTTTTTTCATATTCAAATTTCCGTTTTTCATATCATTCATTCAAGGAGTCAAATGATCTTAAGTTGACAGTTGGTAGATTAATTGGGATAATATGAGGTATCTTTTTTTTTTTAAAAAAAATAATAATAATAAAATAAAGGCTAAGATTGAAACTTATATTTTTCGAATTTATTATTATTATTTTTTTTTTGCGAAAAGTGAATAATACAAAGAAAGTTTTTTCTGTGTTGTATACTCTATCTATACTCGCACGCTATTTAGATTATACAGATTATTGTACAGCAGCGTATTAATATTATTGTTTCCGGAACTAGACAAATCTTTTTATAATTTGCCATACTTTTTGGCTTTCTCGTGAGCCTTTTTCTCTCCTTGTTCGGTTTCGAGTATGCCCATGATACTATTAATTTTCTTTTTATACACCGCATCTCTCGCTTTCGCCTTATCGACATTATGCCTTGCAACAAATTGACTATCCTTGCGTAATTCTCGGATCGCTCCTTTGCGTTCTTTCTTATATTGCGACTTGAGTTTATTTAATTTTGCACGTTCACGATCCGGATCATAATGCTTATCAACAGAGAATCTGAAAAAACGAAGAATATATGTTGAGCAATTCTTATTGGTCAATGACAAAATAAGTCGGTATTAAAGAATAAATTTGAGTGTCTTACTTCTCTCGGAATTTCGGTATGTATGTTGGAAGTGGAATAGGACGGTGATGCTGTAATTCCAAAGGCTTACGACTTTGCTTTGCAAATTTCCGAAGTCTTTCCAGTTTTCCAAGCACGTCCGCTAATTTTGTCTTTAAACAAATATCCAATCGATTAAAGAATAAGAAAATGCGACTTTGGATTAAAAAAAAAATCAAACCTTGATCACTTTGGAGAATTTATCAATGGGATAAAGTAACAGGATTTTATATGTTGCATCAAAAAGTTCGATAAATGCAGCTGTCGAACTGTATAACTTTGCGTATTTTTCAACCAGATGTAATATAGAGCTTAATGCTGAAATTCTATAAGTAATTACAAATATATCTTTACTTAATTATTTATTACTAAGGACCATCAGGTAAACATCGATGAAACTCACCTGAATTCGTCTCTGTTGAATATATCATTGTTTTTGGTAGTTGTCTGCCCCAATAACCTTGAAAAATCTAATGGACGCACATCCTTAATATTACTTGCATCCTCAATCTGAATGTCGGTTTCAATTTTTTCGGAAATCGGAAATGTTCCTGGGATAGATTTCGCGGAGGTGAAAGTACCTTTCGGTGCAAGATAGGCAAGTGCGGTATTTAAGAAATTGAGAACTTCGGGATAAATGCGTTGTGATAAAGTTTGAAACTTGCGGGTGGAGATCATGAGAAAGAGTAAGTGATGATGTTGAATGGCTTGAATTCGTAGTTTGCGCTAACATAATTATAGGTCATGTACCTCGTGCATTAAATTACACAAAAATATACCTGCTATCAGATCGCGACCAAATAGCAGAGGGCATTGTGCCAAGTATTGTCCCATCAACAAAGTCGCTGGTGTGACCACCGCATGATGAAAATCGGAAGTTGGAAACACTAGTGACAAAATCCTCAACAAAACAAGCTCCGAAATGGTGGGGAGAAATGAGTTAAATGATTTATTGTTCGGTGAACCTAACTTTTTCATAAAACTATTTTGCATCAGCGAAATTTCGGTGATAAAATAATTTCTGGCAGTTTCCGGAAATTGATTCGCCAGATCGAATACATGAACCACAAGTTTATTGATGAGCACCATGGGTATGGGATTTTCTTGAGCAACACGATTTAGGATGTAATCAATAAGGGCTTGGAAGAATTTCTTTTTTAAAAAAAAAATAATAGTTTAACAATCAAATGTTTCTTTTTTAAAAAAAAAAGAACAATCTTTACCTCCAGCTTTTCTTGATTATCCGCGGAAAGCTTAACATTATGCAAAACACGAATACGATGCATGACGGTCGGAATGTTTTCATCATCAATGTCTTTTAGAATTTCCAAGAGCTCTCCAAGGGATTCCGGGCATGGAAAAACATATGCCAGTTCCTTTCCTTCAACCTTCGTAGTACCAAGTTTACGAGGTAATTTGCTTGTTTTCTTTGAAGATGCGACGGATGAATAATCATTGGTATCCTCCTCATCATCATCAACACTGGTATCACGAATGGACTGACCGTTGCCATCATTGTCAGAAAGTTGAACTCGAAATGTTAGATCAAGATCTGAATAGTTGTCATCGTCATCGTCGTCATTATCATCATCATTATCATTATCATCATCATCATCATCATTTTCATCATCATCATTTTCATCATCATTTTCATCATCATCATAATCATCATTATCATCATCATTATCATCATCATCGTCATGATCATCGCTGTCACCATTATTGTCATCCTTTTCGTCATTATCATAAGTTGTTGTCGATCCTATTCCCTTACCAAGATCATAAATATTGTTATTCTCATCAGATACATAATCATCATCCAAATCATCCGCTATAGGCGCTCGCCTTTGTTTTTTGTGTTTATCATCATCATCAGATTCGGATTCTAAACCCTCCATACGTCGTTTGCGTGCACGCTATTATTAAAAGATAAAGCATGAATAATCCGTTTTTATTTAATACTAGTTATCTTTTAAGCCTGGATCTCACCTCTAATTTTTCGAGCTTCTCTTTTTCTTCAAGGGCTATTTCCTCTTCAGTCTTAGTTCTGTCAGTTGGCCTCCCACGTTTCTCAAATACTAACTCGCGTACAATTCGATCATACTCATCATCTTTGTCATTTTTTTCGGATTTCTCCTTATCTGACACCAACTATTAATAGGGATATTTAATGTCAGTAAAGACATCAAGCTGAAATGAAAATATGCATATATACCCTTTTAGATGCTGATTCCGTAGATTCGGTTCTTGGATTAGGAGGGACGATAAGAAGATCACGGATCTCATTAAGTTCGTTATCCAATTCGTTTCTTACGCGATTGTCTTCGTCTTTTTCGAACTGACGTTCATACTAATATGATATATATTCACATACACTGATGAGGAAAATTGTTTTTCCGAAATTTCTGAATAGTCAGTGTTCTAATAAAGCGTCTATCCAACCTTATACATCTTACTCTTTGCGATAACCTCTTTCATAACTTCGGCCTTCGATTTTTTACGTTCAGACTCCTATAACGAGGATACTCCATTAAAAAATAAAATAAAAATATGTAACAAAAAATTTTTAAAAATAATAATAGTACATTATCATCTAATTTTTCAAAACCACCAAAATGATTTTTTGCGACAATGTCCTGATCGATCATTCCTAACGAGAAAAGTAGAATAATCGTTAACATATTTGAGATAGTAATCATTCATAATCGATAATTACCCTTGTCTTCTTCTTCATCGCTCGGTGCCAGATTCGGTTCATCAAAATCATCAATTAAGGACAAAGATTGGCCATAGTGTGTCAGGTCTTCTTCGTCTTCAAGGTTGAATAATGATGATTTTGATTGTCTCTAAATCAGAACATCAATTTGACTTTAACAATAGACAAACTTATAATTTGGTGTTAAATAACGTTCGCGATATACCTGCTTCTCTCTTGTAAATCTCTCCAGCATCTTCTCTTCAGGTGGCATGTCGGGGTTATTTTCACCGAATCGTCGATCAACTACTCCACCTACTTTATTCTTACTTTCCATTTCAACGAGTAGTGTTTTCTTGCGCTATAATGAATATTATGCATGTTAAATAATAGACACGACACAATTTCAAGGGCACTTTCGGATCTTACCTTTTCGACACCGATCTGACGTTTTAAACCCGGTCTTCCTTGAACACCTTTGACCTTCTTTCCCAAAACATTGTGCTTCGTCCTCGTGACTTTCAACTCGAACGGGTTCACCTTACCGTTTATGTGACCGATCTTGGACTTTATATTATTTTTACCAATTTCTTTCGGCTCTCCTTTTCTTTTCTGTTTTTTGCTGATTCCCGAGCGAGAATTCGGACCTATGATCCCGGCTTCTTTCAGCGTCGTCTTGAGACGTTTCAAAGCCGAACCGCCATTTTTTTTTATGGATTTTGCTGTCATTTTTTGAATTTAATTTTTTGGTACGATCGACGATCTACAGTAAAATATCTTATCGTGACGATCATTTTGATAATTTGGTTGCATTATAAAAAACAAAAAACAGAGAAACCTATATATATATATTAAATAAAATCAAATTTATTAACATACAAATAGGCCTAACGTTCAATTTATATTTGTTTTATTATAAACTACTATATCAATATACAGTATATATAATTTTGT